ACTTTCTATCTTCTAAGGTCTTCTTTGATTTATTTATTTAGAGTTCTGTAATTTTCATTATATAGATTTTTCACCTCTTTCATTAAGTTGATTCCCAAGTTTTTTTTTTAGGCTATTGAGAATGGGGTAGTTTTTTCATTTCCCTTTCTGAGGATTTGTCACTGGTATACAGAAATGCCTTTGATTTATGGGTGTTGATTTTATATCCTGCCACTTTGTTGAACTCATTTACTAGTTCTAGGAGTTTTCTTGTGTAACTTTTAGGGTCTATCATGTATAGAATCATATCATCAGCAAATAGTGCCAGTTTGAGTTCTTCTTTTCCTATGTGTATCCCTTTAATTTATTTCATCTGTCTAATTGCTCTGGCCAGTGTTTCAAGGACTATGTTAAATAGAAGTGGTGAAAAAGGGCATCCCTGTCTTGTTCCAGTTTTTAGAGGGAATGCCTTCACTTTTTTCTCCATTTAGAATGATGTTGGCCTGGGGCTTAGCATAGATAGCCTTTATGATGTTGAGATATGTTCCTGTTATCCCAAGTTTTTCTAGTGTTTTGAATATAAAGGGGTGCTGCATTTTGTCAAATGCTTTTTATGCATCTATTGCGATGATCATATGATTCTTATCTTTAAAGTCTATTGATGTGATGAATTACATTTATTGATTTCTGTATGTTGAAACAACCTTGAATCCCTGGAATGAATCCACTTGATCATGGTACACAATCTTTTTGATATGTTTTTGTATTTGATTTGCCATTATTTTATTGAGAATATTTGCATCTATGTTCATTAGAGATACCTGTCTGAATTTTTTTTTTTTTCTGATGTGTCTTTGCCTGGTTTTGGAATCAGAGTGATATTGGCCTCGTAGAATGAGTTTGTTGGTGCTGCCTTTTTTTCTGTTTCCTGAAATAAATTGGAGAGTATTGGTATTAGTTCTTCTTTAAAGGTCTTGTAGAACTTGGCTGTGTATCCCTCTGGTCCTGGGCTTTTCTTGGTTGGTAGACTTTTGATGGTGTCTGCTATTTCGTTGCTTGAAATGGATCTGTTTAAATTGTGTATATCATTCTGATTCAACTTGAGCAAATTAAATGACTTTTGAAATTTATCAATGTTTTTGATATTTTCTATTTTATTGGAGTACAATTTTTGAAAATAATTTCTAATTGTATTCTATATTTCTGTAGTGTCTCTGGTGATACTTCCTTTTTTATCACCTATGTTAGTGATTTGATTTTTCTTTCTCCTTATCTTTGTTAGCATGGCTAATGGTCTGTTAATTTTATTTAGTTTTTCAAAGAACCAACTTTTTGTTCAGTCAATTTTTTTCAATTGTTCATTTTGTTTCAATTTCATTGATTTCAGCTCTGATTTTAATTATTTCCTATCTTCTGCTGCTTTTGGTGTTGATTTGTTCTTTTTCTAGGGCTTTGAGATGTAGTATTAATTCATTTATTTGCTGACTTTTTCTTCTTTTAAGGAAAGAAATCCATGCAATGAAATTTCCTCTTAGTACTGCTTTTACAGATTTCTATATGTTATATCTCTGTTCTCATTCACCTTTAAAAACTTTTTAATCTCCTCCTTAATGTCTTCTGTAACCCACTGTTCATTCAGTAACATATTAGTTAGTCTCCAGGTATTGGAGTGGATTTTATTTCTTATTTTGTCATTGATTTCTAATTTCATTCCATTATGATCTGATAGAATGCAGTGTAGAATCTCTACTTTTTTATATTTGCTAATAGTTGCTTTGTGGCATAGTATATGGTCTATTTTAGAGAAGAATCCATGTGCTGTTGAGAAGAAAGTATATTCTCTCCTTGCAGGTTGGCATATTCTATATATGTCAGTTAAGTCTAAGTTATTGATTGTATTATTGAGTTCTATAGTTTCTTTGTTCAGCTTTTATTTGGAAGATCTATCTAGTGATGAAAGAGGTGTATTAAAGTCACCCCAAATTATTGTTTTTTTGGTCTATTTGACTCTTGAACTTGAGAAGACTTTGTTTGATGAACATAGCTGCTCCATTTTGGGGGGCATATATGTTTAGAATTGTTAACTCTTGTTGGTGAATGGTTCCCTTGAGCAGTATGTGGTGTCCTTCTTTATCCTTTTTGATTGACTTTAGTTTATCTACTTTATTTGATATGAGAATGGAAACCCTTGCTTGCTTCTGCAGACCATGTGAGTGATATGATTTTTCCCAACCCTTCACCTTCAGTCTGTGGATGTATTTTTCTATGAGATATGTCTCTTGGAAGCAGCATATTGTTAGGTCTTTTTTTTTTATCCAATCTGCTAGTCTATGTCTTTTGATAGGTGAGTTTAGGCCATTAACATTCAGGGTTGTTATTGAGACATGATTTCTATTCACAGTCATTTTTATTTATTTTTCGTATTTAACATGACTTGGTTTCTCCTCTGATTAGATTTTCCTTTAGTGTAATCCCTCCCTCTGCTGATTTTCATCAGTGTTTTTCATTTACTCCTCTTGTAATATTTTGCTGAGGATGTTCTATAGTGCAGGCTTTCTAGTTGTAAATTCTTTTGTTTATCATGGAAGGTTTCTATTTCATCATCAAATCTAAAGCCTAGTTTTGCTGGATACAAGATTCTTGGTTGGCATCCATTTTCTTTTAGAGCTTGGTATATGTTGTTCTACGATCTCCTGGCTTTGAGGGTCTGGGTTGAATAATCTGCTGAGTTATGAGTTGGTCTCCCCTATATGTAATCTGAGTCTCCTGTTTCGCAGCTTTTAAGGTTCTATCCTTATTCTGTATGCTAGGTATTTTCATTATAATGTGCCTTGGTGTAGATCTGTTGTTTATTTTGTACATTTGATGTCCTGCAAGCCTCTTGCATTTGGTTTTTCAATTCATTCTTCATGCTTGGGAAGTTTTCTGATATTATCTCATTGAAGAGATTATGCATTCCTTTGGTTTGAAACTGTGTACCTTCCTCTATCTCAATAACTCTTGGATTTGGTCTTTTGGTGCTGTCCCATAATTCTTGGATGTTCTGTTTATGGTTTCTAACTTTCTTCACTGTGTGATCAACTTTATTTTCCAGATTGCGCACTTTGTCTTCATTATCTGATGTTCTTTCTTACAAGTGATCTAGTCTGTTGGCTATGCTTTCTACTGAGTTTTTATTTGATTTATTGTAACCTTCATTTCAAGGATTTCTGTTTTTTTTTTCAGGGTCTCTATCTCTCTCTTGAAGTAATCTTTTGCTACCTGTATTTGCTCTCTTATCTCATTGTTGGAGTGATCAATTTTTGCTTGTATTTGTCCATTTAGGTCATTTTTTAATTCACAGATTATTAATTATAAACCTTCTGAACTCCTTCTCTGACATTTCATTAACTTCGCTGTCCATAGGTTCTGTTATTATAGTGTCCTGGTTTGTTTGGGGCACTTTCCTCCCTTGTTTTTCATGTTGTCTACGTGTCTCCCTTTCTTGCATTGTGGATCTGAGATATTACAGTTTCTTCCCTATATTCTTGTAGTGTCTGTGCAGATTGTCTGTATCTCACCTTGATGTTGGGCTTCCAGATCCTGCTGGTATCCCTCAACGGAGGCTTCTGCATCCTGAGTCTGGAACCTGCATAAGTTGGAGTGGGTGGATCTGGGCCACTGGGCTTGACCTCCTAAAGTAGTCTGCTAGGCTCTGGCAGTGTCTGCCCAGCTGGGGGAGGGGTGAACTGGGCTTATTAAAATCTTGGATCCCTCATGGGCTGTTGTGAGCCATCTGGGCTGGATCTTGGCTTTCATGGTAGTGCACTAGTTAGAAGGCGTGTCCTGCACCAGAGGCTAGGCTCTGGTGAGTGTCTGCCCCACCAGGAAAGGGGTGGAACTGACCCACTGTGTGCCTGGGCCCTGCAGAGGCTGGGGTGGGTATCTACAAGATGTATTTTAAAGTACTGGCCTCCTTGATTGTGGGAGCTGGTCAGGCAAGTCCCAGATCTGTAGGGTAGGCTAGAAAGCTGGCAGAAGCTGAAGCAGCCATCCACAGGCAGGGTTTCTTCTTCCAGAAAACTTCAGATCTGCAATAAAACCTCTCAACTGATGGTCCATTCAGACTGTCTGAGATTATGTCTTTAACTTGAAGTCAGCTGATGGTGAATGTATTTTTTTTTCCTATTCTTTCTTAAGGTCCTAGAGTTTGTACAGAGGTTCTAAGAAACTTTGGTGAGCTGTCCTTATTCATTTCTAGAATTCACTTCAGGTGATCTAGATTTAGTCTTTCTTCTTGAACAGTGCTGAATCAAATTTTCTAAATCTTTATTTTTGGTAACCTTCTTTCTAGCTTCAATGTAAATAGCTGTACTTCTATAAACACATCCTTTTCTTTGATTAAGTTAAGGTTTTTTTTTTATATTTGATTTGTTGAATGGATTTGAATCCCCTTGGGTGGGGCAACCATATCTCTTTTTTATGTGAGTTTGTGTACATATACTGCAAGTGTGTGTGTGTGTGTGTGTGTGTGTGTGTGTAAACATAGGACCTCACAAATGGTAGGCAAGTGCTCTATCAATAAACTACATCCCCAGACTTTTTTTTTTTTTTTTTTGAGACAGGGTCTTGCCCCAGGCTGAAAAGTATGATTTGTTTTGTTTGGTATTGTCTGTGGTGCTGGGATTGAATCCAGGGCCTCACACACGCTAGGCAAGTACTCTACCACTGAGCTACATCCCTAGCTAAGATCTCATTAATATGGTAATTCAATGGCTGGCTTCTTTTATTCACCACATTTCAATTCTAATTAGATTCATTCTCATATTTTGGCCTTTTTATTTTTCCAATTTTGCCTCAGCTTCTGAGAGTTTTTTTTAATTATAATCATCCAGATAATAGAAATTATATATTTGAACTTTTAGTATGAAAATTCTTTGTGTGTGTGTGGTGGGGGTACTGGGGATTTAACACAGGAGTGCTCTATCACGGAGCCATACCTCCCTAACTTTTTTTTCCCACTTTTATTTGAGACAGGATCTCACCGGGTTGCTGAGGCTAACCTTAAACTTGTGATCCTCTTACTTTACCCTCCTGATTTCTTGGGATAAGAGGTGTGTGCCTGGCCTAGTAAGAAAATTCTAAGAATTTGGAATTCTGTTATTTAATCATTAGACAGCAACTTATAAAGTTTAGCAGCCAATTTCCTACTACTCTAACAAATTCCACCCTGAACAGCATGGGAAAAATGCATTCCAGCTTCATCTACATTAGCAATGAATTTCAATTCATAACCTTACACAGTTGGCTTTAGAAGAAGTAGCATTCCCTTCCCATATCCTTATCTATAGCTGCAGCCTCCAACCCAGTCCCCAAGACATATGGTTCTGTATTTCTTGGAAGGTTTGCAGCAATTCATTACTGCATTCAAAATCCCTTGAGTCCAGCTACAATTCGGGGTAATTACTCCAGTATGGAGAAGCGTCAAACTGCATGTGAACATGCTTCTCCAATAATTCTAACCCAAATCTTGAAAGTAATGACAAGCCTTTTTTTTTTTTTTTTTTGCTTAGCTTTAGAATCATAGCGTAAAAGCTAAGTTAAATGTTTTGCCTAATGCTACTTTGAACAGTAATCATTGAGAGAGCACATGGGCATCATTCACAATTGAACTCCCGGTAAACATTTAAAAATAGGGGCTGGGGATGTGGCTCAAGTGGTAGCGGGCTTGCCTGGCATGCGTGCTGCCCAGTTCCATCCTCAGCACCACATACAAACAGAGATGTTGTGTCCACCGAAAAAAACTAAAATAAATAAATAAATTCTCATTCTCTCTCTCTCTCTCTCTCTCTCTTCTCTCTTAAAAAAAAACATTTTAAAATAGTTCCACACCCCAAAGGACTTGTCAACATCATTGCCATTAATCAATAGTAGCTTTGTCAATAAATAAGTGATCCATCAAGGTGAAATATTCACTGTCAATCAGTAGTTGAGTCAACATGACTTGTTATCAAACTATTTTTATGCTATGAAATTTATTTTACAAAAAACCTTATGTGGGATTCCAGTATATAAAACAGATAAGGAGAGTTGCATAGGTTGAGGGTATGGAATGGACAATGATATTATTTATAAGAACATTTTGGTTACTGGCTTAATAACTCATGAGTTATTTTTTTCTTCCATATAAAATGTAGACAGCACCAGATAGGGGTGGTTTGGGAAGGACTTTGTGCATAGCCTTGAAGTAAACATTGAAGGGGAAGAAATTGCCATGTAAAATAAAAAAGCCTGGAGAAAATTTCAAATGAAAACATAAGAAGGAGACTTATGGGGAAAAAAATCCTTGAAGCATAAATGAGCATAATCAAAGGTAAATATATTTTTTTAAAGTATACTAAATAGAATCACACCTAATCTTATTTGCTCTGGAAAAACTACTTAGAGTTCATTTTTATAAATATGTCAATAGAAAATGCTTTGGTTTACAAAGAGCTATCTGTATAACAAATAGTTTGGGAGAAAAAGATGTTGTATTTATCAGGAATCTATTAAACATAATGCTCTACTCAAGAACACTTTGGTACAAATGTTTTGCTTTTGTGAACACCAATAAAATCCATCTATACCGTGCTTCTAAAGTACTTTGTAAGTCACTAAAATATTATATTCAACAGAGATATAGAAATATGATCATAATATAATAAATTATTATTATTATTGAAAATCTGTTAGAAATGTTATATGGTATGGCAGAAGAATAGCTTTCCATTTACCAGAATATTGTAGGATCTGGCTATTGTAGTTCCTGACTTTATCATTTAGTAGAAGTTCCTCTGTATAAGTGCTAAAGAGCTTTCTGATTATTGAAAGGACCAGAATCAAGGATGTGAAACAGGAAGATTTTAGAGTTTAAAGGTTGAAAGAAGATTTGGCAGAGACAGAAGAGGGTATTTCTGCTTAAGAATATCCTCATTGTCACACAGCTTTTAAATTCACTTTGCTTGTTTTTCAATTGGTGTGTTTATAAGGTACTTGCTTTCTAAAAGTAGGTTTGTGTTTTTGTGACAATGGCAATAATGCTTCCTTTATAGAACCTATCTGTGTGAGCTTGTCCAAATCAGACTGGGCATAACATAGAATACACATTTGCTTCTTCTGAATGGTGCTTCATTTCAGTGGTTATGCCACATGGATGGCATTCAGAAATAACAGTTGTTTCTCCATATAGTGGTGATCCAGTCCCCTGTGATTCTGAAGCCTGAATGTTCTAATTCTGCAAATACATGAATACAATTATAGAATTTTATCTGACCCTAACTGGGCTTTTGTCCTTTCATGAATTAACACAGACATTTAGTTTTTCAAAGGTACTTAACTTTGGCACTATGTAGCTGCTATAGGGCGTTTAAAGTTAATCCAAGATGACTTTCTCACCTAAGAATCTTCTTATGGTTATTCTTATATCTTTCCTTCTGCCCATCTCTGAGAATTTCTCACTTCCCTTCTTGGAACAGCATACTATGATTAGATTTGTTTCCAGGGACTGGCCATGGCTTAGAAAAATGATTCTCTTGCTTGCCAGAATCCTCATACAGACTCCGCTGAGTCAAATTTAGTGCCAAAGGGAATGTGTGCTTTGTTTGATCAGCACTGATTTCTGAAATGGGTCCTGGAAAAAGAAAACATGGATTTTGTCAGTAGCTATAGAACCAGAGGAAAATATCCTGATTGCAGCCTGTCCTCATTACGCTGTGCTGGTACCAGAACATCTACTGTGTGGTACTCAGAACATCTACTGTGCTCTCATGGCAACCATACTTCATCTCTTCATGCAGCAAATGCTAGGGCCTATTAAATAGATGAGCCATACAACTTGTAAAATATCAATTTCTTAAGTTGGAAGTGACTTTGTCTCTGATAACTTTGCTTTTCTGAAGAAAATACTCTCCTGCCACCCACTCAGAATGTCAGGTTCCTCCTGATCCCCATGATGATCCATAAATATCTACCTTGAACTCATGACAATGATTGGATTCAACACTGTAATTGCATATGCCTTTTTCTCTGTGTCAACAGCCTCTTTCCTGGAGTATCTCCCAGTATTCATGTTGTATCCTGTTAGGTAAATTGTGAATCTATACAACTGCATCCCACAGTTTTATGAGCAAAGATCACAATTAATTCTCTGTCATTTTCAGCACTTAACACATGATTAGTGCTTTAAGAAGATGAAACATGTAGGGCATTTATAGCACTTTTTAAAAAAATTAGCTGGATTTATTATTTTCCATGTTCTTCAAAGGAAAAAAGATTGAGATGACTTATGATAAAGAACACATATTCAATTGAATCATTCATTTGAAAAACTTAAAAGACCAAAATTCTTTTTTTTGGGGGGGCACCATACCTTTACTTCATTTATTTATTTTTATGTGGTGATGAGGATTAAACCTAGTGTTAAAATTGTTTTATATGTGTGTTATTTTATGTAATTCTCACAGTTATCATGTGGGGCATGGAAAATCCATAATTGACAAATGAGGAAACTGAGGCATAAAGATTAAGAGGTTTCTCTGAAGTCACACAAAAAATAGAACCCTATTTAGGATCCAGTTCCCTTGACTTTTAGATTCAGAATCTTTTTGTTAAAAATTGTTCAGTCATATTTCTAGCTCTCTGAAAGCAATTCCCACCAGAAGTCTCATCTTTAAACTCTGTAGTGTGGCTAGCATTTACAAAATCACACTGAGTGGAGGAAGTGAACACCGCTCGGGTTGTCCAAAGTTGCAAAAAAGATATAAAAACAAAAACATGAGACAGATTTTATTCATGACTATGAGACAGGATAGTGCAACCTCAGATCCATCCTGGCAGTAAGTTACGTTGTAACTTAGTCTGTATCTCAGGGACCATGTGTGCCTTTGTCACAACAATTCTAGCTCAGTTTTACAAGGCTTCAAATATTGAGTCTCTGCCTCAGAGCTTCATTGGGCTTCTTTTCCTTTCTATGGAACTATGACCATGACTTTAATTTCAGAGAATGGAAGAGATCTTTTATAAGAATCATGACTCACATTTTACAAATGAGTGCACAGAGGGTGTAAGATTTGGTAACCTGTCAGGGCCACGGAGGTGCTTATGCTTCTTTAACTATTAACAGATAATAATGAAATATTATAAATAAATGAAAAAACATTTATTTGAAAACCTCTTTTGTTCCAGGAACTGTTCTGGGTACTAAAAATACAGCAGCAAGAAAGAAAAAAAAGGAAAAATGGAGGGAGGCATGGAAGGAGGAAAGAAAGAAAGAAGAGAAAGACAGAAGAGGGATTGAGGAAAGGAGAAAGAAAAGAAGAAAAGAGGACACAAAAATTATTGCTTTGATGAGTTCAATTCCAGTGGATAAAGGCAGATAATCAATAAAAATGAAAAGGTAAATATAGATATATTGAAAATAATGACACGAGAGAAAAAATAAAGCAAGAAATAATGGTAAGGAAAAGTTCTGGGGGGCACAGGATAAATTTCAAGTAAGGTGATTAGGAAGTTACACACTGAGAAGTGACATTTATCAGGAATAATTTGGAGTAAAGGAGGAGGTAATGCAAATATCTTGGAAAAGTTTGTACATGATCTCCAAGAGAGGAGCATGATGCCACTTTGGGAGGCCAGAGCCAAGTGCCTGAGGGAAGAATGAACCAGATGCAGAATAATGGGATAACAGGTCTTACAGGTCATGAGGAACCAGCTATGTACATCATTCTGAAGACCATCATAAGCACTCTGGTTTTTATTCAGAATGACTGAGATAAAGAGACATTGAAAAATTTAGAGCAGAAGAGCATTATCTTTGGGCTAATTTTAAATGGGATACTCTGGGTTTGGGGGTTGAGAATAGATTAGGGTGAAGACAGGGTAGAACCAGGGCAAGCAGGAGACTATTCCAATAATCCAGGCAAGAGAGGGTTGTGGCTCAGATCAGGTGTTAGTAGTAGAAATACTGAAAAGAGTTCAGACTCTGGGAGTTATTTGAAAGTGCAACAAAAAATTTGTTGAAGAATTTAATTAAGGATGAAAAAGAAAGAGAAATTAAAGATGACTCCAAAGATTTTAGCTTGAGCAATTCAAAAGAAAGATTTGCAATTAACCAAGATGGTGAAAGATGAAAGAAGAACAGTCTTGGAGAGAGATGAACAGTTTAGTTTTAGAAATATTGAGTTTGAGATGCCTATTAGATATCCAAGCAGTCATGTCAAATAGGCAGTTGAATATGTATCTAGAGTTTAGGTAAGACAATTGAGGTAGTCAATTTAACTATCATCAGATTATAGGTGATATATGCAAAACCATGAGAATATACCGTGGGAAGGAATGAAGACAGGCAAAAGTAGAGATCCAGAGACTGAGCTCTGGGATACATTGGTATTTAGTTCTTATGAAAATATGTGTTAGAATATTGGTTTAAGGCTCATACAATTAGTTTAATTCTACTTTGGCATATTAAAGCCCACATTTCATAAAACTTTTCAAGAATCCAAAGATTCCTATGAAACAAGCTTGTCTCAAACTTCATTTATATTGGGTTGCTGTTCATGATCTTGGGGTGAGATGAAGGCAATGTTTCACTGGACTACCTCCTCTCCCAACACCTAGAGTCTGATTCTAGTTCATCCCTCCTTGTTTCTGAGCACTTTTTCTGTGAAGACTATAACCCCTTCAACAGTTAGCCTCCAACACACTATGTATAGCCAAATACTAACTAGGTTTCTACAGGTAAATGTTGTCCTTTGTAGGACTTTATAAATTTTGCATAACTATGTGTTTTGTTTACTTGTTTCTTCTTTTTTTTAATGAGCAGATTTTTTGAGAGTGAGTTTTAAGGTGTTTGAATCCACATATACTTTTGATTTCTATCTACCTCAGGTGCTGGTTCAAGGATTTAAGTATATGTAAGAACTGGATGGTAGGCCTGCATGGTGGCACATACTTGTAATCCCAGCGATTTGGGAGTCTGAGGCAGGAGGATTGCAAATTCAAAGCCAGTTTCAGCAACTTAGTGAGGCCCTAAGCAACTAAGCCAGACCTTTTCTCAAAATGAAAAATAAAAAGGGCTGGGAATGATGCTCAGTGGTAGAGAGAGAATCTCTGGGTTCAATTCTCAGGACCAAAAAAAAAAAAAAAGAAATCGTATTTAAAATGTAAGTTCTCTTTTCTTATCTCCAGAGATTCCAAATCTTTTAAATGAGTTTAGATATCAAATACTTAATTCTACCAAAGTCCCCCATTATAGTAAGGGAAATGGTTATGGCAGTTTGCAAAAAACATTTTAATTTCCATGCATGCTTTCCAGAATTTATTTCAAAATGCACTACACTGTCTTGTTTGAATTCTTAGCGTCATTTTTCTCTGGGAATTTGGTGTGTAATGATTTGTCAGTCAATGGCATTCCTATAAGTACATCTCTGTCAGAATTCTGAAAGCACATTAGCGGTGGTAAAACAAAGCCTTCAGAGGTAGGCATATTTTACTGTAAGATAACATTCCCCTTTTAGGCATTGTTTGCCATGTGTCTTTGAACACCTAGGAATTGTATTATCTTATTGTAGCAGAAGGCTTAGTGTTTTCTAATGTAATTATATGATGAAAGAAACTGTAGTTTAGAATGAACTATATTGTGTTGCTTATGTTTTTAAATGACAGGTTTAATAATAATAAAACAAGCAACTACTTCTCTTAGTAACACACTGAGAGAATAATATAAAATTACATCTAATTTGATGTACTGAGGATTTTCTAGAATAAGTCTCTGTAATGATTAAATGAGATGATCTTAAATTAACTTACTTAGTTTATCTGAGATAAATCTTTCCTCATATAAAATGCATTAAATATACATAAAACATTTTAGTCTTTAACCTAATTTAAATTTTTTTAACAGTCCAGAATCATTTTCTTTCTTCTGCCGGTAGCCTGGATTCCTTTTGGGAATTATATCTTGCCCATGGTTTGCAGACTTGTTAACTGTTAGTTAAAATCCCCCTGTCCCTCTTAAGTCATTTGGCTAAGGAATGAGTACATGAATCAACCAGATGTTCTAGCCCCAAATTTACATTCTACTGTTATGTATATATGTAAAGAACAAATTAAAAAATATATAAAAAGAAAGGAGCGGCTTAACAGCAGGAAAAATGAGCTAATTCATCACACAGTTGAACCTGGTAAAACCACTGATTGGTCCTTCTACTGGTTCTTGATACCTACATGCCCTTGGCTATTTTCTGAGCAAACATTTGCAGTTATTCTATTTTTTTTCTGTAAGCTACTCATATCCTTCTAAATTCTTCATTCTTCAAATTTGCAGGTGCTGGCCTTTGTGTTTGCAAGTTGAAGATGACTAATTAATGCACATGATCTTGTACTTCTGCTCAATCTATGTTACCTTTCTAAGGGATTATACACAAATCAACATTTTATATTAAAATATTGATATCAGATATTTACCACTTTCCCCTGATGTGTATGCACATATGCTTGCATGTATGTACATGCTTATATATGTGAGACACAAGTAAATTCTGAAGTTCCATTAGCATCTTTTAAAAATATATTTTGTTAGTTGTAGTTGGACATAATACCTTTACTTTATCTATTTATTTATTTTTATGTGTTGCTGAGGATTGAACCCAGGGTCTTGCACGCACTAGGCGAGTGATCTACCGCTGAGCCACAATTCCAGTCCTCCGCTAGCATCTTTATGAGGCCTGGATCTTTTTTTATTAAGACAAGTTACTGGACTCAAAACAGAAAACAGGTATATTCTAAGGAGTCTCCCTTAAACACTCTCTGTCCAGTTCATTATTAAGCTTGTAACCCCCTTTTAAGTTGAATGAAAAGAGAAAAGCCTCTTCATAGACAGAACACAATGCTAAATACATAGTAATTTCATAACAGGTTTGTGCTTAGTATCTGGAGAAAGAGATTTAAGTTGTATTAATGACCATAAATTTTGTTCTTACCGTTAGACAGAAAATCAGGTTATAAAAAGATTGTAAAAACATAGCAATAACAACATTTTTGTGATGTCCACATAGGTTTCTAGAAAAAGATATCATAGCCTGAGGTCTGAAGATTGTGAAGAATAAGCCTTTGAACTGTCTTTCCTCTGCCATTGAATGACCTTAGATATTCATTTAACCTCTCATGGCCATAATTTTCCCAACTGTGAAGATGATGATTTCTTTGTCCATATCAAAGGTTGCCCGAAGACCAAACAAAATAACCTCAAAGTAGTTCCATGGAAAATGTACTTTCACGTCAGAAGACTATAAAAAATAAAAGATGAGAGAAAGTAAGATGAAAAACAAGGAAACAGAAAATAATGTAATTATTGCCTGGAAGTACTTACATAATTCTCATAGGGGATCCAAAATAAATAAAAACACTGAAAAGTTTTGCAGACATGAAACAAACCTTTTGTTTTTGAGGTGGGAGTCCACTGTGCCACCCAGACTAGCCTCAAATTCAGGATCCTCAACAAACATTTATTAAAAAGTAAAGAAAGAACAATAACAACAACTAAAAAATGATTAATTGCCCTCTACATATTAAATATTGTAAATGTTGTAAATATTGTCAGTTGTAAATATTGTCAGTCAAAATGATGTAAAATCCAAACCAACAATAAAGGAGGGCCTTTCATATGTCTATGATGATAACTATTACAAAAACTACCTGAAGGGCTTTTATGCACAGATGCCTGTAACAAGAACAACCAAGGACTTTCCAAACTGCAGCTTGCCACATGAGTCAACAAAGACAGCTAGCTCAATGGATAAGAAAACTTTACTGATATACTAACTATTTCCACCAATGAGCTAAAGTCAACTCATGGGTAAGTCCTTGTAATCCCTGTTTTTTATTTCAAAACAAATTGCATGTCTTCTCTCTTTGCCTTTGAAAGTTTCCCCTTGCTTGGCAAGGTGGTTTTTTTTTTTTTTTTTTCCTTCTTTTTTTTTTTTAATTGGTTGTTCAAAACATTACAGAGCTCAAGACATATCATCTTTCATACAATCGACTCAATTGGGTTTTGAACTCCCCAAATACATAATACAGACTCACTTCTGTTACATACTCACATTTTTACATAATGGCATATTAGTGACTGTTGTATTCTGCTACCTTTCCTATCCCCTACTATCCCCCCTCCCCTCCCCTCCCCTCCCAACATCCCTCTCTACCTCCTCTGCTGTTGTTCAATTCTCTCCCCTTTTTTCCCCCCACCCCCTTGCCCCTCATAACCTCTTATTATTTTGTGTATCACTGAAGGTCTCCTACCATTTCCATATGTTTTCCCTTCTCTCTTCCTTTCTCTCCCCCCATTCGTCTTACATCTGTAATCTCAGTGTTTGGGAGGCTGAGGCAGAAGGATTGTCAGTCTCAGCAACTTAGCAAGATCTTGTCTCAAAAATAAAATGAAATAAATATATAAACAAGCAAACAGATAAATAAATAAAAAGAATTGGAGATGCAGCTTAGTGTTAGAACACCATTGGGTTTAATCCCTACTACAAAACAAAACAAAACAAAACAAAAAAACACCAATAACAAAACAAAACAAAACAAACAAACAAAAAACAAATGAAAAACCGAGACCTAAACAAACCAAACCAAAAAAAACTTGTTTCTTCTTGTTTCAGTCTCCATCATCAGGACTTGTTCTGCTGTGATACTCTTGTCCTGTGTTTGCAAATTCTTCTGCTTATTCCTGAAAACAACTAATTTTCTTTGGAGAATCTTTTTCTGTTTGTTATTTAGTTTCTTCACATTTTGTCTTGTTTACAGTCTTATATTTAATAAAATATATTATTCTATCTTGTCTTGTAAATACTAATTAAACTTATTAGAAAAAATTCAAACATCACAAAAAGCACCAAGAGGATGGTTTAAAAATCAGTTAAATACCACCACATAGAAACAAACTTGATTTGAATTAAATGAGCTTTATCCAGGCATATTTTGGTAAGAACTAGAGAGTTAATTGGGTGTGACTGCATACTCCTGCTACTCAGGAGGCAGGAGGATGGCAAGTTTGAGGCCAGGCTTATCAACTTAGTGAGATCCTCAACAACTTAACGATACCCTGTCTCAAAATGAAAATTACATTAATAAAAAGGATTGAGTATACAAGTCAGTGAAATGTCCTTGGGTTCAATCCACAGTACAAATAAAGAGTTCTAGACAAAAATAAAATACTTTAAAAATATGATCTTATTATAGTTTATTAAAAGTAAAACAAATTTCCATTTGACCAACATTATACAACAGCTAAAACCCCACAGCCTCATGGAAGTAGGAATTTCAAATAAATATTTTTTTCTTTCTACATAAAAGATACTTCCTAAAATATCTTTAAATTTCTTGTAGTTGTAGATGGCAGAATATGTTTATTTGTTATGTGGTGCTGAAGCTTGAACCTGGTACCTCACACATGCTAGGAAAGCCCTTTGCCACTTAACCATAATCCCAGACCATCCTAAAATATCTTTCCAAGATTGTGGAAAAAAATTTGGAACAAGATCAATTTTAATAAATTGGAGTAACATTTTTTAGCATCTTAGTTTTAATAGTTTTTTTCCCTGCTACAAAGGATGAGGACCTGGGCAATCTCATACTTTATTCATCATACACAGTTCACCTTCTGGGTTTTGTTAAAATTTATTTTTTAACACAATAGAAATATTTTAATATGTTATATCTATGACTGCCTTTCTCTCAAAACTTTGTAGAACCAATCTTTGTGGAAAAGGAGTCTGTGCTATTTCCTCAGGTAGCAAATGGCTGTTTTTCTTTTTGCTGAAATACTTTTCCCTTTTCTTTGATAATAGTGTAACTAGAAGAGAAATTGGCACTGACTACTCTCACCAAGCTTACTTTGAATATAATGTGCTCTTTCAGTCTGTAGGACTTATTTTCTTCATTATACGGAGATTTCTTGTTTTATATTTCCAAAGATTTTTTTCTGCTTTATTTATTTGGTTCTATATAACCCAATATCCTTATGCTAAATCTTTTTTTGTCTTTCATGTCTTCTAGTTTGTCTCTAATCTTTCAAATTTTTCCCTCTTCTTCTTTTCCTTTTTTCTTTTACATTTAGTATTGCTATCTATATTCTTTACTCTCTGAGAAGCATCCTATGTACAGTGGAATATTTTAGTATTGTGTGTGTGTGTGTGTGTGTGTGTGTGTGTGTGTGTGTGTGTGTACACCTCCCAAGTTTCCACCAATGTCTTCAAGATGACTTGATCTTTTCTAATTAGAAAGGAAGGAACTATCTTCAAGGCAGGAAACAGGTGGCATCCTAGGGAATCTCCCCAAGCAATGAGTTTACTTTATATTCTAAGTTTATAAGCTCTATTTTATTTGAAGGAAGAGAGAAGAGCCCAGGGATTTTTACAGCTAAAGAACAATATTATTTATTCTTGCTTGTTTGGCTTTCAGGTCTGCAAACTCCCTTTTCATTTCATACTCTTGTTTTATCAAGTCATTTTTAAGCTCAGTTACAAAATTCAATTTATGTTCTCATTAAATTTATTTACAACTTGACAGTAATTGTGAAGTATTTCTATCTCATTTCAGTTGTTATTTCTTCTAAGTTAAGTTCTTTTACTTTATATTAAATATTCATTTTTTGCCGTGCAATATTTTTTTAATCTTGATCCTGTTCAGGTAATTCTCCATTGATGTAATAATGTTGGTGCCTTTTTCCTGCCACACAGGAAGGATTTTTCTTCTAAGATGAAGTGTTGGGCTGAGTTTATTATTATTATTGTTATTATACTGGAAATTGGACCCAGGGGCTCTCTGTCACTGAGCTACATCCTAAGCCCTCTCTATAGTTTATTTTGAGACAGTGTCTTACTAAGTCACTGAGGCTGGCTTTGAACACGCCATTCTCCTGCCTCAGCCTCCCAAGATTCTAGTATTATAGGTGTGTGTGCCACTGTGCCCAGCTAATCTGCTTAGAGCTAACTGCTCTTCTATAGCCTGAGAGATTGGCAGTCAAAAGACCAACTCAGCTAAAAGGAATGTATGTAGATCTCTATCTTCCTTGGAGTGCCTGGTCTCTTTTCTCCCTTATAAGGGTTTTTCAATCTCTGGCACTAGTTTGATGTATTTGAGTCCCAAGGGACAGACTTCCAGCTGTGATTCTGGAAACTACTGTTGAAGAATGTTTGAGTGAAGAATAGGTCAAGCATCAAGAAATTAAATAATTTGATTTTGCTATGTAAAACCAGAAGACGATAGGCATAGATAGGTAGACTAGAGATTTTTTCTAAAGGTATAAAGCTTACTGCACTCTCCTTAGATCTATTATCTATGAGAGACTATGTAATTCCATTCTGTTATTGTCTCTGAGAATTAGGAAGAAAGGATGGCAACCATAAAATTGGAAAAATCCATGAGCATCATCCTGGCATTGAAAACCCAAATAAAGAAGTTGGGTGGGGATGGTTCTAAACATTACAATGGGAAATGAGTCAGTAAAAGGAGCTAAGAATGACTGTCTTCATGCCATTTATACTTTATAAAGTCCAAAGGGAAGCCTACAAAAAAAAAAACACATAGTATTATATAACCAAGTCATATTTGTTATTTTTCTTGCCTTTAGTAAAAATCTTCTAGAAAATATTATAGAGGTTTGTGTAAAGTGAATATACATTTTTTTTCCTTCTGGAATTTCTTCTGGGGACAATCCAGGAATTTTGCTGACACTGTAAGAAAGAGGCAATTGGCCTTTTGGAGAGAGGGGACAGAATTATTATCTGTAAGGATAATGGAAGACTAGAGCCCCTTACGGCAATTTTTGCCACTATGTAGAAAGAATCTATGCAGAGAAAAATAAAGGTAGAGTGATAAAGCCTAATACTTGAGGACATATTTTGAGCACCATGATCTAGCCACACATGAAATTATTGCACTTGAGTTTCAAGTCAGTTGCTTTTTTCAACTTGCTTGGATAGGGCTCTTGTTACTACAAGAATTCCTTTATTAATTCATTTTGTTTCTTAGGGATTGATAGAGAGGGAAATAGCTGGACTTCAGAAATAGCTAGACTTGCACTTTGGAGAAAAGAACTCTATTGAGGAGAATGAATAATCAACAAAGAAAGGAACTGTGTGTAAGAAAACAACAACAAAAAAACACAACAAAAGAGAAGAGTGATCTATGTCCTTGGTGATCCCTTTTGGAGGTAGAACATTCTATAATGATGAAGGTATCATCCCAGACTACTGTCTGATTTGTGGAACTAGGTGAGTATCCTTTTCTTCCACCTGTGTTTCCTCAACAGCGTTCCTCATCACGTGGGTAGAGAACAGGTCAGGGGATTTCCAGATGGAGGGGGAATCCATTGGGAAGTGAGAATGGATTGTTATCACTACTGCTTTTGTTTGGTTGTTTATGCTTTTTAATCTCTCCAAGAGCCCCAAAAGGTCTTTGGACTATGGACAACATCCTTTCTGTCTTGTCCATCACAGTATTCTCAGTGCTTTGTACAGGGATGGACAACCATGGAACCTAAAAACTGTTTTGGCATACACCACTAACCATCTCAGAGTGAATATGGGTTGTCTTAGTTCTGATATAAGCATCTTGCTCAAAGGAATGGCATGAAAGGAAAGGACTCAGTGATTAGGAACCAAGTATCAGCTCATGGCTGAGGGGGATGATCAGGCATGACATATTCTGGTATTCTAAAAATATTGCCTCCAGGGAGAAAAAAAAAACAGTGCTACAATGTCGTATACATCAATTTAATATCAAAATTTAAAGTTGAGTTGAATTTTTGAATGACAACTGCTACCTTCTATATCCTCATATATTTTGACTTTCAAGCCATCACTCTATCACTGTCAGTTTTTTGACTTTTAAAATTCTTTATCAAGAATATGCCATAGAAATGTAAACTTTAGAGATTAAGAGAGAAATATTAATACATTCTTTTTCTTAAGTGGAAAATTGTAAAGCATCTTTGAAACACTATGATAAAGATCCCAAATAAAGGACTGGGGATCTAGCTCAGTGGTAGAGTGCTTATCTATCATGCCTGAAATGCTGGGTTCAATCCTTAACAGGAGGGTTTGGGTTGAGGGTGATCCCAAATGTGGTTCATGTTTTCTTTGATGACTTAACTCAATAAAATCTATGGAGCCAGATGACTGCCTGTTTAAAATAGGCAATAAGATGGGAAAACATGACATCAACGTTAGACAAAGGTAGAGAGGACATGAATTTGGCCTTCAGCAAATGTCAACTTCTTTTTCTACCCTGAGCCCAGTTTTCCTTACTCTTTTTTCCTACTCTGAACTATCTAGAAAATAATCAAGTATACAATCTTTCCATGTCTTTTTTTATTCAAAGGGTCTAATGACTGATTTTTTTATAGGATAAAATTCAGCTTCCTTTTATTGTAAATACATTTTGTTTTTGTGATTCGGAAGCTTGGAACCTTCTTATGTTGGGAACTTGCCAATGTATTTGATCTATTTCTGAGTTCACTCTTTTTTTTTTTGGTCCCACACTCTGTGTTTGGGGGGCCAGGGAGGACTTCTAAACAGCACATTTCTTATCAAAGTTCTGAACCAGTAGAGAATCATGGCAAATGTATAAGGCATAAATGACCTTTACTGCTAATAGAGGTGATATTGGAAAATTGTCCACCAGTGGACACATGGGCTTCCTATCACCCTTACAATCACCCTATCATCATCACAATGAGATGATCATAATAACTAAGTCATGAGAGTGCTGAATGAGTGAGGGGAGGCCTGCCCACTTGGTCTCACTGTGCCCTGGTAACATCATGTGGTTGAGATAGTGTAAGGTACTTCCTGAAGAAACCTGATTCCCAAGAAGAGAAGAAGATGGCCTCCTTCAATTCAATCTCTCCTTTCAGATTGTTCCAATCATATTAAGTCACTCTTCTTCAGAGAAGGACTGAGTGGGCTAGAAGTAGGGTGGGTGTGGGAGGTGAGGACTCTGATGCAAGTGGAGGACTGTTCATATGAAAGGGAACTTGAGGGGTGGAGACGCATCCTTCCGGGAAGATGGACTGAATTTCCAACTTCACTCTTCCTATTGCCAAAGCATAGAGTTTTTTTTAGTGAGGCTATGTGGATGGTGGACTCTTCATTACTTGTACATCTGAAAACATCTTTATTTTTCTCTCACTTTTGAAAGAGTTTCTCGTCTGATAGTTTTTAGAAAAAAGACTCTCAGAAGGTCTTCCCTCAGAGAGGGAAGGGAAAATGCTATACTGGTGATCTAGGTCCTATCTTCCAGCCACTGGTGTTCTATCTTTATTTCTTTCACATATTAGATTTCTGCATAATATTGTTTAGAACAAGGTATGTTACAATAAGGTTTTAAAGTTTCTATTTTCATCTAATCTTTCTTATAATAATAATAACAGTGAATACTCAAATAGCATTTATTGTATGCTAGGAACGACATTAAGTGATGGTTTGTGTGTGTGTGTGTGTGTGTGTGTGTGTGTGTGTGTGCGTGTGTGTATTTTTATGCTGTGTGTATATATGTTTAAATGTGTGTATATATATTTAAAATGTGTGTATATATGTTTAAATGAATTCTCAAGACAATCTTGTGAAATAGTTATCATTAGTTTTATAGATGAGAAAACTGAGGCATAGAGAGCTTAATTGCTCTTTTTTTTCCCCCTGAAATTATGAAGGTAGTAAGAGCTGGAACAGGAATTTGAATCTAATTTTCTCAATTTTAAGTGTATATTATAGACAATCACACCACTGAGTGTTCAAGAAAGTTAGAATGTATCCCCCATCTGTGTAGTAGAAAGGGGAAAAATACCTGCCTTTCTTTGCTTTCTTGCTGGACTTTTCCTCCTACACCACACCAGTTTTCAGTATGATTGCTTTGTGATCACATAATGTTAAACCTGATCAGCTTTCATGTTGCATGATGCTGACATCTTTAACTTGGTGGAGATGACTTCAGAATCTGAAATTCATTATCCTACCTGATTTCACCTGTTGGATGACTCACAAGCATCTCCAACTTAGGAAGTCCCAGACAGAACTCGTCATTCCTCACCTCACAAACCTGTTTGCCCTACTCCCATCTTCTTTCAGTAAATAGTATCATCATTTTGTCAGTTGCTCAAGCCAGAAACTTGTTCGTCATCTCTAATTCCTCCCTCTCCTCACCTCCCACACCCCACTCAGCAGCAAGTCTTTTTGATATCAATTCCAAAATACAGCTGGAATCTATATAATTCTCTCTACACCATTGCATCACCCTAAGAAAAACAACAACATAGGTATTACCACCCATGTCCTTTCCTTTATCTCCCCACGACAGAATAAGCTCCTCTATGCACCATCTGTTTTTATACAGGTTTAATACACTCTATAACAATATTGCATCCAATCCTTTTTCCTACTTTGTAAACTTATTTTGTGGGAAAGAAATTAAAAGTCACAAACATCTCAAAATTAACTCATATTTCCACAAAAATTTCCTTTACAAAGCCCAAGAAATGATAAATAAACACATAATGGAATTATTTTATCCCAAATTTATTTTATGCTTGATCTAATTTTCATTTCATGTCATTGCAAAGTTGTTATAGTCAGAATAAGGTATTCAATCATATTTTATGGAAAATTGTTCCACAAACTTCTTATCTGTTTCAGTATTTAACTTTTTGAGATTTGATATCAAAATATATAGTTGGGAAAGTTTAATTTCAGACAAAGTACTTAAGCTGTATTGAACTTGTTTAGTTTGGACATATTTTAATCTTCTTATTATTATATTGGCATGTTATAATTAATGGCCTTTTTGAAATTCCATTAAATCTTCTATTATCAGAGGTTTAAAACTGCAGCATAAATTTTTTTCTCCAGGCTGAAACTTGTTATACAAAGAGGACTCAGCCTAGAACCAATTAAAAAAATTAGTCATTAAATAGTTTGTCTTTGAATGCAGGCTTGTCATTTTCATTAATTTTTGGACTAAGCTGTTTAACCAGGTCTATACTGCTCCGTATTAATATTCTAAAAATTGTATTTGAAATGTTCATGGAAATAGTTATGAGAAATATTGAGAAAAATACATTCTCATTTTAGACTAGGGGTTTATGATAAGATTCCTTATGGCTTCTTTTATGTCCCATATCCCCCAGTCCTCTAGTCCTCTGGCTCACCATCACTAAGGAGGCTCACTATCATGTTAACCTTTATTCTTATTCCATGGTTGGGCAGGATCTGTTGCCTCTCCAAGAAGGAGAGACAGGAATCTCAGACTTTGGGTGCACCTTCTTGTTTTCAGTCCTACTTTCACTTCCTAATTTTAGAAGCACCAGGCACCACCAGTTTCTGAACCTCCTTAGGGTTCTATTTCATTCATTGCTCAAAGTCAAGATGCTTCCTGGCTAGAATGGTGGAATGAACTCTAACCATCTAGTTAGGGATGATCTGTGTTTAATATGATGGATAAGTCAAGGGAAATTAGGACTGTGAATTGACTGTTGGATTTTAGTACAGTGAAAGTCCCTGAAGATCTTGACAAGAGCAATTTTAGTGGAAGATATGGGGGAAAAGTAAAGGAAGGGATTTCAAAAGAGGAATTAGAGACAGCAAGGTAGATAATACTATAAGAGACTTTTTTTTTTGTAAAAGGAACTTTAAAAAAATGGAGTTGTAGCTTACAGAAGTCAGGGGTCAAGATAAAATTGTTTTTTTTTTTTTTTTGTATGTTATAGGAATCAACTCCCAAGGCCAAAAGTTGAGAATGCAACCTTTTATGTCTAGATGCAGAACTTTTACAAATGCTCACCAATAAATGAAATCATTGTTCATATCTTTATGACTGTTTCAGAAAAGAACATTTTTAAGTATAAAGAACAGTGGTTATGTGCATATGTAAAGTTATGTAGTCAAAATGCCTAACTCTATATTCCATTTGATATATATTGGCTCTTTGATAAAGGGACAATTATGCCTACCTCAAACAGTTTGATGAGAATTCCTTCAGTTAGTCAATGTTCACTGCAAGTTTCATGTATGCCAGGCACCTCTTCTACTCTCTGTTAATATAGCACTGGACAAAGCATATAGTAAATGCTAATGGTTTTTGTAATGTGTGACACACAGAAAATAGTCAACAAATATAGGTAGTCCTCATTGTTATTTTTTCTTCATTATCATCTTCATCAAAGCTGACTCATTACTGGATATCTACAGGGAACAAAGGTCAAGAAATATTTAGAAGTCTAGAAGATAAGAAAATGCTGGAAGGAACAGTGAGTGTATTAAAGAGAAAAGGGAGCATATTTCATTTATTGCTCAAAGATCAGCACTAGGAACAAAAAGGTAGAATGAAGGATACTATGGTTTGGCAGATAAATGAAATATCTCACAGACTAAATGGATTGGTTTACTGTAGGTAGTGATTACCTCTCCCACGTAATGTTCTGGCAGCACCATGAGGGATGTGGTATTAGGTGTTTGTATTTGGAAGTGATGTGTTAGACCTGAAGGTTTCTGTGTTCACTTTTGTGAGCATAGAAATCACTACAATGTAATGATTTAATAAAATTTACATAAATATAAATGATTCATATTGGTAACGACTTTTTATTTATTTGCTATTAGATGAGTCACTTATCTTCTTGGATTTATAGATTTTTTACGGATCACATGTATAAAAAGATAAGGCTACTGCTAATTATTTCTTCTATTTATTCAACTTGGAAATCCTGAAGTTAATGAAAGTCACTTTCATTTCCATTTGTTTTCAGTATTGGAGCTAGGTGCACGGAGAATTCTGGGTTACATGTAGTATGTAATACTTTTTTGACATTAAAAATTAAAAATGTCATGAACTATATTTGAAAAGCAAAACTTTGAGCTTTGCAAATAGACATAGAAACCCTAGTAAATAAAAACTATATTGAGGAGTAAGTAATAAGATATATATGGGTAAAATAAAAAATTCACTGTTGTACCTGAAACTTAAGTTACTGGAAGTGAACAAATTGCAAATGGTTATTGCTGTGAGAAACAGCTTCTGCTTGTTAGTCTTAGGATGTCAACTCTGATCTGCACAAGGCCTACTTCCATGGGGCTTGAGGTAATAACAGAGAAAGACAACTCTTCCCAACATGTAATTCTTTTCCTTTGTATCTTTTTTCATTTTTTTCTTTCTTCAGAGCTTATGTTAGTTAGTTTTTGTGAGGCTGTGACAAATACCTAAGAAAAACTACTTTAAGGAGGAAAGATTTATTTTGGCTCATGGTTTCAGAGATTTCAGTCCAATGTTGCACTGGCTTGCCGGAGGTAGAACATCATGGTAGAAGATGGTATCGGGGAGGAAAGCTGATCATGGCAGCCAGAAAGCAGAGAGAGGAGAAGTGAGCAGAGGCAAGAAATACCCTAGCAGGACATACCCCCACCCAGCTCTACTTTCTCCAACTAGACGCTATCCCTAAAGGCCCTACCACCCTCTCGTAATGCCATCCAATTACTAATGCATCAGTGTGTTAATCCACTGAAGGAGTAGGAGACCTCATGATTCAATCGCTTCCCCATAATCCCTACGTAAGAATTTTGCTGCACTGGGGACCAATGCCTCCGAAGGACAATCCAGACCCAAACCCTAGTACTTCTCTTCTTTTTCTCCTCTTATTTTCCTGTGTCTTCTAGATCAACAATTATTTGAACATATATTTTGTACTCAGTGTAACTGTTGAAGGATCAAAACAAAAGAATATTGAAAACTGTAATACCTGTCTCCTAATTTTGAGAGATTTATAGATTTTTTTTAAGGAAGAAAGAAAGGGTAAAGAGAAAATATGATAAACCTAGTTCTTGCAGTAAAGTGACCTTTGTGTCATATTAAGTACTGAGAAGACATAGATAAATGCTGTCAACTGGGTTATAGTCTAGTACTAAAACCCCAAACCCAAAATGAAACAAAATCAAAAAAGAGAAAATACGTAAAAATAAAGTAACTTGGCAGACATTACTCATATAATTCCTTCAATAGCTCTGTGAGATACTTGGCATAGCCTCATTGTGAAAAACTGAACTTAAGATATTTGCTTAAGTGTATCCTGATCTAAAGTCATATATACTTGTACTACATGGAGCAGCCTTACAGAAATAATAGAATACAATGGAATCAAGTACATTGTGGGATGAAGTAGGCTAGATTTAAAATAGATATATGAAAGAAGGATATCACAGGTAGTTGGAAAAATGGGTAAAGACTTCATGGAGAAGTGTGGACTTGAGTCATTTTCAACATTCATTCTTTAATGAAATGAGTTAAGCATTCTATGCCAAACACAGTGTATAAACCTGGTTTAGCTGCTGGAAACACAAGTTTTCAATAGGATCGATGCCTTCAGAGAAATCATAACAAAAACTTTGTAAAATACATTATGTAGTGAATTATAGACATATTTCATAATATTTTTATTTTCCAAAGTTCAATTGAAAAAATTTAATTTCAATTTCTTAAGGTGAGCCCCTAAAAGAGTCAACCAAGATTTGTACTTTTTACATTTAATTTCCACTTAACATTAACCTTTAGCACAATGTTTCTCTAATGTAGCTCAGCAAAGAAATCACCTAGTTTTCAGTTTTAAATCACTTAAAACTGAAGATTCTAGAAGAGTCTGGGAATCTGTGTTTTTAACAATGGCCCCAGGCTATTTTTACCATTACTAAGTTTGGAAATCACTAATTTAGCCCTAAGTCATTTGAAACACAGACTTGGAAATCTTGATAATCAACTCAGATTTGTACAATCCAAACTGGTTTGACACACATCTGGAAATGTCTGTGACCTCACGGGATCAGATAAACTTGGGCTTTTGTTTGGATGAAAAAAATCACCATTCCAAATCAGAGTAAAGTGATCAAAATTTAACATCAGAAAATTTTAATCCTACTAATAAAAAAAGAACAACTGAATTCAAATTAGTGTTATTTCTAAATACCTAAAACCAAACTTTTTGGGGAAGAGAATTAGACTTGAAGCAAATTATATAGGAGGGGGGATAAAAATCTGATTTCTAGGAGAATATTGTCTGGTTTTCAGTTTTAGCAGAATTTAAGAACTTAACAGGAGGGTGAATAAGTATTTTGGTGAATAACTTTTCAGATTTTGGAGGAGGTAGTAACGAAACAAATCTATGTGTTACATATAGTATACTTTATAAATAATTTTTTTAAATAGATTTTTTTTTAGTTGTTGATAGGCTTTTATTTTATTTATTTATATGTGGTGCCGAGAATTGAACCAGTGCCTCACACATGCCAGGCAAGTGTGCTACCGCTGAGTCACAGCCCCAACCCCCTAAATGCTTCTTAATGGTAGTTACAATAAAATTTTCTGAAAGCCAGAGCCTTATTGTTTTATTTTCTTGGTGAAGTGGCTAAAGGTTGTTCTGTGGAAAGAGAAGAAAAGATGCTTTAGCTTCCTGGTCCTGAGCAGTGAAGACTAATGCACATAATCTCTTCTGGATGTTTGTCAGTGTGTTTGGGTTTAGGTTGGTCTTGCAATAAACTTGCTGTGCAATTTGGAACAACTTCCTCAAGTGCTTTATTTTTTATGTTCAATTTCTGTCAAAGGGAAGTAACAACATATAATCTATGAGATATGGGTTGAACATGAGTTATTAAACTAATTTGATAATCACATATTCTGTAGATTTTGTTTCAAAATGGTCTAAAAATCATTCTAAACTAATTGAAAGAAATATTCAAGGAAACTAACACAGACAAGGGAAAAGCCCCAATAAATTCTTGAGATCCTACCAGCGCCCAGATGCTCTGTGACGCAGTAATAGGCCACCTCATCACCAGAAATCATTTCAACATCAAAGAATAAAGTAACAATGGTGTGGGAGCCACTCTCGTAAACCTTCCCAGTCCCTGCTCTACCTGTTTAGTAGCTAAGTAGAGGCCATCCTATCTACTGCTGTCCATTTTTCATGGGCTTGTAACTCAGACAGTGGTTGTGTTCCTTCTTAATTTAAATGCTGTTACTCACTTGGAATGCCAAATGGGAAAATGCTGGCAATGCAAAGGTTAATAGAAGCGCTGACACAACCTTAATTGCAGCAGCACAAACATATTGCTATAATTGTAGCTAGTACTTATCTCAGTTTCTCATACTCCTTCAGCCCACTGAGATCTGCTGCAAGCTGAGGATGAAAAGAGGGCCTCTGGAGTCGCTCGATCAAGCCAGGTCTGATAGAGTTATCAGGCTTTTGCAGATAGAATGCCTGCCACTGTTGGATACACTGTCATAATCCCTGTCTAGGCAAAACACCTGGACTTCCTCAGGGACCACCAACCCCTTCCCCACCTCAACACTTACTGGCACCTCATCACGCCACTAACTGGGCGGGGCAGATGAAACTGAAAGGATAAAGGTGCCAGTCTAAACTGGTTGTCAGATGCTTCACTGAACATTTCCCATTAGGTCATTATTTACTCTCATTTGAATATATGTTTATTTTCATTCTTAGGAAGGCATTGGAAATGTGCCCAACTCGTCTACGGCAACTGACTGCAGTTTTTAAAACCCAAACATGCTGATGCTTGTTGAGTGTAATTGGCCATGCTGCATCGTGATGGCTTTGGGAGGGTGGAGATGCTCATTTTGCAACTTTGGGATCTCAAGTCAGCTAATTTAATGAAGACCCAGACTCCCTACTGTTGAAAGAGACTCTCACGAAATTAGCCTTCACCATTGTTTGTCTCCTTAATGTTAGTGTTGAACTTATGCAGATTGAGTACCTGTATGGTGCCCATTAGACCAATGTGATTGAGTTAATATGTGTGGATGACTAGTGTCTTAAATTCAATTTTTAGAGTCTGTGTGTTTGATTCTGTTTAGACACTTCATAGAGATACATGCATGTGAAATTGTGTATTGTTTATCAATTTGGTTTGCCTAAACTAATTGTAGGTTATCTATATGACATCACTATGTATATAACAGGAGATATTTGTGCTCAATATTTTAACCCTAATCCTGGGAAGATCATGGAGCTAACATTTTTCAGGTGAAATCATGTGTTTAGAAAGACAATTCTGTCTTCTCTACATATACTTCTAAACACTTGATTTCAAAAGTAAAGACCGTTGCCTATTTATTTATTTGGGGCTGGGAGTGGGGGTTCCAGCAATAGCAAGAAAGCATGCAAGATGAATTCAAAAAAGAACTGGAAGCCTTCTTTGCCATCTTTAAATATCTAATGCATGGGTTTGTTTTTGACACCTCAAGTCACACACTGGAGAACTTTAATTCTCTCTCGTAAGAAAATCCAATGCACTCAAAGATCTATATTTCTTTCATTCTCTGAGAATTTGTTCATACGAATGGTTTAGTAAGTTACTCATGTTCAGAGGCATTTTTGCTTAAAAGAGGGAGTGTGGTGGAGGGAATGACTAATCTTACCACAGGAGAATGAATCACTGAAAACGACAGAAACCCAGTTGATCAATAATGATACTCTCAGAGAAAGGTCCTCTGCAGTGTTCATCACTCTTATAATCATATCTAATAAAGAGGCCCAGACTCTGGACCATGAGTGTGACACTCTGTCATGAGAATAAAGTGGACATATGGGTTTGTGTCCTGGGACAGACAAAACACACATGTAAGAAATACCAGCTGAGTATTAAAGGGGCTCCATGAAACATGTTAAGGGACATAGAAAGGGAAAATAGGTCCTTGGAAAAATAAATATGTGTACAAATGGAAGACATGGAATTTGGAAATATTGTTCTCATCAGGCTAATGATAATAATAATTCTAATAACAATAAGTTATCATTTATTGAGCATTTACTTAGGCCAGAACTCTTAAGTGCTTTATCTTGTTATAAATTTCTTGCAACTACTCTGTGAAGTAGATGTGATTCTTTACATTTTAGATGGTGAAAGTGAAATACAATTTCAAAATAGTACTTGTCAAAGTTGAGTAAAATCCGAGGGATTCTAATTCCAAAACCTGGACTGTCAATGAATGTGTTGAGCAGTTTCAATAAAGCCAGTTCAGAAGTTTCTTTAATTTTTTTTTCCTTTGCTGGAGGAATATATAGATCAGCTTAAATCAAGGAAGAGAAAATGGCTAGTTAGGACACAAATTATGTGTATCCAAATCATGAATTCTTTGAACTGCTGTACCTCTTAAACAGCTATTTAATCTCCAGGTCAGATAAGTAGAAGAAAAGTTGTTTTTAAGACCCATAGGAGGAAATTTAAAGGAATCTTTGAATTAAATGACTATTATGACTCTACTTAGAAAATTCTTCCTAGATGGGTACAGTGGCCCATGCCTGTAATCCTAGTGACTTGGGAGACTCAGGCAGAAGGATGGCAAGTTCAAAGTCAGCCTCAGCAACTTGGCAAGACCCTGCCCCAAAATAAAAAATAAAAAGGGTTGGGATGTAGCTCAGTGGTAAAATGTCCCTGGATTCAATTTCCAGTATCAAACAAACAAACAAACAACAACAACAAAGTTCAGTGAAGCTAGATTATTTTCCAGAACTTGACTGTTGACTAAGGAAGAACAAGCATCATTTTTTGTGGAAGGTCTGAAGGGTCATTTCACATTCTGAGTTACTCAGTCATCAGTGCTTCCTTCACATTTGCTCCGGTTTATTTTGGTTTGCTTATTTTTTGGTTTCTTTTGGGAACTATAATTACATGTTAGATAAAATAGTAAAAATATATTTTTATTGCTGAGATAAAGTTTGTATTTAAACACTGGCTTAGCCTTAGATGTGAGCCAGATTGGACAAAAACAAGAAGGATATCCAACATTGGGTGGATTCCTTTTGAGGTGTTCCAGAGTATGAAAAGTGACCTTTGCACAAAATGAGGATTTAAGAATGGCTTATTAATTATAATAGAAGAGTACAAACTAACCATTTAACCATTCTACCTAGAGCTAATCTTGTTCTCTATTTGTAACTTTTGTCCAATTATGTAATAGAAAATACCTGCAAACTTGAAGTCACATATTTTCTTAAAGTATGCACACTAACAATAAAAGGAAGAAAAAAGTCAATCTTCCAACTCAGAATCTTACATGGCTTTTGAAAGGCAAAAACAGACCTCTTTGCTCTGGTTAATCAGATTAATTTGATCATCAATAAGTAAGAATTAAAATTTTAATCAATAAATAAAAGCATTTAGTTAAATCATCTTTATTTTCAGATAGTATATCACTGAAACCCCAAAATAATCTATGTAAAAACTACCACAAGCAATAAAGCAGTATTAAAATTAATATATAAAATTGAATATGTAAAAAAAATTACTTGAAGTTATTAAAGAAAATGAAAGGCCCAATTTATGATTTAAAACCCACACAGAGATATCTTTAGACATAGCACAGCAAGAAGTGTTCAAAACTTCTATAAAGAGAACCATAAAGCACTGCTGACAGACTGTAAAATACACCAAAACAATTGGGGGAGATATATTATGTTTTGAACGGGAAAATTTGATACCCTAAAGATAACAGTTATTTCTCAATTAATTAAGGCAATTTCAAGAGAAATTCCACCACTTTTTATTTTCTGGCTTTAGAAAATTTGTCTATAAAGTTGATTTGGAAGGAAAAAAGCAAGAATAGACATGAGGACCTTAAATGAAAAGAATAATAAAAGGTGACTAATCCTAAAATATATTAAAAACCATATCATTTACTATAAAACCTCTATAATTAAAATAATATAGCATGAAAGCACAACTAGAAAGGAAAAGTAGACCAATTATGTCAGAGAGAGAAATCACACCATAAAAAATCTAAAAGGAAAAATGGGTGAATATAGCCTAGGCATAAGATACCTTTCTAAGTAGGACTCAAAATACAAAAGCACTTGGAAAACTATTTTATTTATTTATTTATTTTTATTTATTTATTTTTTTATTGGTTGTTCACAACATTACAAAGCTCTTGACATATCATATTTCATACATTAGATTGAAGTGGGTTATGAACTCCCAATTTTACCCCAAATGCAGATTGCAGAATCACATAGGTTACACATCCACATTTTTACATAATGCCCTATTAGTAACTGTTGTATTCTGCTACCTTTCCTATCCTCTACTAGGAGGGATAGTAGTTGGAAAACTATTGATAGTTTGAGAGCATAAAAGATTAACAATAACGTCAACAAATTTCTGTATGGCAAAAAAAACTTAAAAAAGAAAACCCACAATGAGCAAAGTGAAATTGACAAAATTGGGAAAATTTTGCAATTTATATCAAAAACAAAGGATAGTAGTTTTAATATCAAAAGTTCAAAAGTGTTGGACTGTAGGTGTGGCTCAGTACTGGAGTGCTTGCCTGGTAGACGAAAGTCCTTGAGTTTTATCTATAATACTAAAGAGTGGGAGAAAGAGAGAGAGAAAGAAAGAAGAAAGGAAGGAAGGAAGGAAAGAAATAAAAGAAGGAAAGAAAGGAAGGAAGAAAAGAGAAAGAGCTTTTAAAGCTTTTAAGTTGGAGAGAAAAACAATATGTAGATCCTGTATAAAAGTGGGCAAGAGATTTAAGTAGACAAACAACAGATGAAGAAATGCAACCAGTCCCTAATCATTTGCAAAGTTGCTTAACATCATTGGTACAGGGCTTAAACATTTAAAACTACACTGAGATCCCATTCTTGTTTATAAGATTGGCCTAAATCCAAAAGCTTGACAGCTTCCCCTTCTGGCTGAGTGAGATATTCTCATATATTGATGGTGGAGGCACAGAAATGTGTAATGTCAAGTGGAGGACAAGTTGGCAATACTTATTAGTTGGCATAGAATTCACACTTAGGGGAACCTATTTTAAATGAACCATAGAGGAAAAAAACAAGACATTTGTGCAAGGCTATTCTTTGCAGAACTCAAATGCCCATCATTTAGGACTGATCATATGCTATATTATATCCATACAATGGGGGCAATATACCATTGTTAGGAGAAATGAGAAAGAATAGTCTACAAGCATCAAGTCATCTATGAAACTAATAGGCTAAAGGAGAGACTTAAGAGACATAGCTACCTGATACCATAAAAAAGGTCTTATTCATAAAAAGCATGGATAATTTTATGCCTTCTAAGCATAATAATGACATTAGGTAGGATCGATAAAGAAATATACCTAAAAAAGATGTTATATAAGCTAGAAAGATGTTAAAATTGATGGCAGGCATTTTGGTAATTAGATAGCTCATAGTCTAGTGAGTCAAAATCACTTATTTTAAACTAATTACCATATTTAATTTATTCTAGGCCTTTTTGGATTCATTCATAAGCCAAGAGTTAGAATGAGGACTAGAATTAGAGCTATAGTTAGCATGAGTTTAAGATTGTTAAACTATTTGGGAACCTATTTCAAATGAACCATAGAAGGAAAAAACAAGAAGACATTTGTGCAAGGTTATTCATTGCAGAATTCAAATGCCCATCGTTTGGGGACTGATCATATGCTATATTACATCCATACAATTAGGCAATATACCATAGTTAAGAGAAATGAGAAAGATCAATCTACAAGCATCAAGTCATCTATGAAACTACTAGGCTAAAGGAGAGACTTAAGAGACACAGCTACCCTATATAATATACAGGTCTTAATCATGACTTCACTTTTTCTGTAATTAGTACATGGTTGCAGCTTTGTCGGTCATACAGCCTTAGTTAGAACTATCAACTCCGTCCTTGTTATTCAAAACAGTCATAAACAATATATAAACAAAGGAGCAACGTGTGGCTGCTTTTCAATAAAATTTTACTTTCAAAAATGGGCAGCAGCCAGATTCAGCC